TGAGGAATATTAAGAGAAAAGAAGTTAAAAATTAACATTATAAAAGTAATTATAAAGTTATAAGTTCAATAGAAGGTTGTAATATAAACATCCTAGAAGATTAAAAACTCAATAAGAGATTAACTAATAAACCAGTAATAAAAAGAGCAAAAATAGGCATGGTGGTGCACATCTTTAGTCCCAACATTTGGTAGGTAGAGGCAGACAGATCTCTGTGAGATTGAGGCCAGTCTGGTCTAAATAATGAGGTCCAGGACAGCTGGGGCTTCAGAGAGACCCTGTCTCAAACAGACTAGAAAAAGAAAAAGAAAATAGTAAGAAAAAGGATTCTTGTGGGGCTGGAGAACTGGCTCAGCTGTTAAGAGCACTGGCTACTCTTGCAAAAGACCTGGGTTTGATTTCCAGTACCTACATGGCCACTGACAACTAACCATAGCTTTAGTTCCAGGGGATCCAACATCCACTTCTGACTTCCTCAGGCATTGCATAACACATTTGTACTTACATACATTCAGGCAATACACTCATCATGTAAAATGAAAATGATAAATAAAATATAAAAAATAGCAAAAGCTTCTCAAAAAGATTTTGAAAATACAGAAAATAGCCAAGAAAACCATCAAGTCAATAGAGGAGATTCAGCACTCAAATGATAAAGGATCCACGATGAAGACGAGTGAGCCAAGATGATGCAAGAATAATTCAAGAAAATTTTCAAAATCTAAAAGGTTTGGGTTTGAAGAGTCAAAGAATTTACCAAGACGCTTCAGCATGAATGAAAATTAACACCAAGTTTAATAATATAACGAACTTTCAGAATGTGGAAATAAAGAGATCATTTTATGCATTTATAAAGGAATTAAGTCCCTCTTCTTCTGACTCTCAAAAGTATTGCCAAATTAGATTTAACTGTCACCTTGACATGACCTAGAGTCATCTGAAAAGGGAGTCACAATTGAGGGACTTCCCAAATCAGATTAGCCTGTTGACATCTCTATGGGGATTCTCTTAATTGCTAATTGATTGTAATGGCTACCCATTGAGGGCAGCACAATCCTTAGGTAGGAGGTCCTGGACTGTATAAGAAAGCATGAGTCTGTGAGCTAGCTTCTAAACAACATTCCTCCATGGTTTCTGCTTCAAGTTGGTGTTTGAGTACCTGCCCAGACTTCCCTAAATGATGGACTGTGACCTGGAATTGTAAGCCGAATAAACTCTTTCCTCCTCTAAATTGCTGTCAGAGTACTTTATCACAGCAACAGAAAAGAATCAAGAGTGTACATGCCCAAGGTCACCCATGGTAGGTGAAGAAAAGAATGATACAAGGTTTAGGAACATTCAGTACAAGGCTCTCTCAGAACCTCTACAAAATATATAATAGCTCAACCAGTGTAAAAACTCTTTTACCAATGTACTGAATTTTCTCTCAGCACTCCTACTGACCAGCATGCAAGAGGCTTAATCTGATCATATGACTTACCTGTCCACCCATATTACAGAGTGTTTCTCAGTGGGGGCTCTTACCCAGGGTGTTTGACTATAGGAGGAGAGAGCTGCCTACAGTGGACAGTGGGCTCCTGATCTCTTTACCCTCAATGATCCAGAAGGACTGTGCCAACAGTGAATTTGCAAACTGTGATGAGACTCTGAACTTCATGATAATGAGATTTTTAGAATAAATATGAAATTAGTAGAAAACTTCCTTCCAGACAACCAATGTCTCCAGTGACAGTATGTTTTATATGAGTTGTTCTCATGGATCCCCATCTATCACCACTGAATCCCTAATGCAAGAGACCATCCTCCTTGGCTTTGTGTCATTGGTTATGAGAGTAGCCACTGTGTACCACATACTGCAGTTTTCTGGAGATAGAGGGCTCTCCTGCATCCTGTGCTTTTGGTCCACCAGCTACATTAAGCTTTCTTCCTTGGGTTCTGGATACAACACTACAAATAATCAAGTTCCTGAGGCCTCCCCATTTGCTGGCACCAAAGTTGGATCCTAACCTACACAAATTTCAGGACATGGTCTTACCTCTTCTCAGCCTCATACAAGATTTCCAGGTGCTACATGAGGAGATCAACCCTTACCTAGAAACTTACCAACCTGTATGCTCAGGCACAACTGCACAGGCATTGTTGGGGGTTTACAGACATTATGGACCAAACTGTTACCATTAACCATGATGAAGTACAGTAGAATATTGCTACTTTTCAGGCCTTAGGGTATTTCTGCTAGATGACAAGACAATGGCCAGCACACCTGGGCAGACATAAAACATCATCCTATCCTGCATGTCAGGACAGGGACATGGGTTTTTCTGTACATATTTGCAAAGTTTCGGTATATTGTCTTGTAGTTCAGCTCTTGGAAGAGCTCTGGGAATCACTAGCTCCACAGATTCAAAATAAAAATTAAAGTAACATATAATAATCATGTACTAAATGTGAGCATTAAGGTCACCTCATTCAACTTCACCTGATAAGTGTCTGTCTTCTCTGGGTATCCAGTCCCCTCTAAGCTGTCATTATATAAAATCTCAAGAACTTTATACAGAAAGCTAATCAATATGCAAAAGCAATCAGTTTCCTTGAAAGATGCAAAGCCGTATATAGTTTTACTTTGGTGATTAATATCAACTGTGGGGTGGCTCAGTGGATAAAGGTGCCAAATTCTTGATGATCAGAGTTGGATCCATAGAACCCACATAAAGTGGAACCACAGAAGAGACTTTATGAAGTTGCTCTCAGACCTCCAATATACACTGT